GCCCCGGGGCGGGGGGGGCGCCGCGGGGCCCCCCCGGCCCCCCCCCCCCCCCCCCCCCCCCCCAGCTCCACGCTGCTGGCAGGGGACAGGTTGAGTGGGGTTTCTTTCTGGGGCAACAGCCTGAGTGTGAGCTTGGGGAGCTCCAGCTGCCCGCTGCTGGGTCAGTCCCTGGCTCCCTGCACCTCTTACCCACATCTGGACAGGACCAGATCTCCCTCTTGCACCCTGGGGGATTGTCCTGCTGGCTGGGGGAGAATGGGGTGGATTAGCCTGGATGAATGTATCATTCCTATTTTGGATCATCGCTATTGCATCCTCCAAAAGAACCAGAATCGACCTCAAAGTAGATGTGGGGCCGGCTGGTATTGGGCCCCGGGCACCTGCCACTGTACACGTGATAAAATTAACCGCGTCCGCCAGGTTGTCTTCAGGGCTGTTTTGGGTGTTTTTAGGGTATTTAGTCCTGTGAATCTCTTCTTGCTTATTAGACACTTCTGCCAGACTCTGCAAGAGCGCTCGATCTGTCTATAGTTATGGGCTTATATTGAGGGGAAAAAGGCTGGGTTGTTTTGGTTTGTTTTTTTTTTTTTAACCCTCAAAACTGAACCTGAAACCGGAAGGTCAGCCTGTGCGTGGTTGACTTGGATGCAGGGTGGACTCGTCATTGGGACAGGACGTTTCCTGCAGGGTGAGAGGCGCTGACCCTTCCCTGCCATCTCCCCCCGTAGTCACGGTGTGGTCTGTGCACCTAGGGATGGGAAAACGATGCTGCGTGGAACCAGCTGCATCTGCACCTGCTGCCCGTCTGCTCGTCCCGGCCGCCAGAGCCCCCTGCGAGAGCCCTGCTGGCGGTGCAGAGTCCCGGCTCTCTGGAAGGCTGTATCAGGTGCTGTTCGGAGCACCAGGCGCCGGTTCCTTTTATCTCTGCTTTTACCAATGTTTTCCTAATAAATCCTCTTTTTTTTAACTAAGACATTTAGAAGTCAGGTTTGTGGCTCCACTAAACGTCACACGACTCCCTCCTTCCTTGAGTCCTGGCAGCAAAATAGCAGGGAAACGCCTGACCCCAGCCAGGGTGGAGGTATCCAGGCAAACGGTGCGGGAGATGGGTCTGAGGCCAACCAGAGCCGTGCAGGACGAAGACACCAGCTTGGTGCCCCATGAGCATGGTGGGACTCGCTGCCCCGTGGGCAAGCGGCCACCTCCTGCACTTGCTGCATCCCACCCCCCGTCAGTGCTGTGTCCGGGCCGGTGCCCCCGGGTGCACAGACCGTGCGCGTTCCCTGTCCCCAGCAGGAGAATCGGGTGGGTGTGTTGCATGCAGCCCGGCCACAGAAAGCTCCTCGTGGGAAGGAAAAAGCAGCATTTCTGACTTTTAATTTCGTAATTCAAGTAAACAACAAGTTCCCAGCCCTTGTGGGGTAAGACTTCCCTGCGGGAGGAAAGAGCAGGAGTGTGTGTGCTGGCAAATGCGGAGCAGGGGCTGCCCTTGTGCCCCGGGGCACGGCAGCGTGGTGCTCTGTGCTCCATTTCAGGCAAGGCTGGGGCCGAGCTGCTCCCAAGACCCGAGGACGGGGCAGGAGCATGGTTGCAGGGCCCCGCTTTCCCCTCTGCAGCCCTGGGAGTCTGCCAGCTTCCAGCCGGGGGAAGCCCTGCGGCCAGTGGGTGCTCGTGGGGCTCTGGAGGGTTCATGTAGCTTCTAGCCCCGGCCTGGACCGGCCTCAGGACCCTGCTAGAGGCGCATGAGCCTGGAGCTGCCCCGTGGGCCCGGGTGGAGGAGGGCAGTAAAGCCCAGTGGCGGCAGGAACGGTGAGAAATTGGTGCAGCCCCAGCTGGAGCGGCCCTAGGACCGTCAGCTCCCCCCAGCTGCCCTTCTGCCTTCCCCGGGGGGTGAACCAAGGGCCCCTCAACCCACTCGTAGCCCCCGTGGGATGCAAGGCGCTGGATAAGGATCGACCCCTGGGCAGTGGGAGAGGGGAAGAGGACAAGCAAGCCACCCCCCACCTGCAAGGCACCCCTAGAGCTGCTGGCCTGGCCTGGCCTCGCACGGGCCCCTCGTGAGGCCGTGACGTCGTCCTACTGCTGCTGGTCCATGTAGCCCTGTACAGACTTCCACAGGGCCCGGATGTTGCCCTCCCCGAAGCCCGAGGCCCCCCGGCGCTCGATGAGCTCCAGGAAGAAGGTCTCCTCGGGGAAGAAAGGCTTGGTGAAGATCTGCATCAAGTACCTCCTCGCCGAAGGGCTCTCCCCCGCCAGCTCCGCATCCAGCAGGATGCCGTGCCGTGCCAGCGCCCCGGGGTCCTGCCCAGCCCCCCGGATCTCTTCCGTCTTACCCGCCTCGCTGTAGTAGGCGCGGGGCGGCTCCACGAACCGCACGCCGGCCGCTGCCAGGGTCTGGGCCGTGGAGACGATGTCCGTGGTGTAGAGCCCGATGTGCTGGACGCCGGCCCCGCCGTGCTGCGCCAAGAAGGTGTCCACCTGGTTCGGCCCCTGCTCCGGCAGGGACTCGGCCAGCACCAGCCTGCAGCCGTCCGCGGGCAGGGCCGGCTCGGCTCGGCCGCCCTGCAGGGCCATGAGCCGCAGCCCCACGCCCCGGCCCCGGATCACGTAGCCCTCGCCCGCGTCCTCGGCCCCGTGCAGGAGGAAGCGCCGGAAGCCGAAGCAGCTCTCGTACCAGTCCAGCACGGCGCGCGCGCTGCCCCGGGGGCAGGCGTACGTGATGTGGTCCACGTGGGTGATCTCGGCCCCATCCGGCGGCCCCTCGGGGGCCGCGGTCACGGCGCGGAAGCCGGGCAGGAAGGGCCCTCGGTAGCGGGAGCGGTCCAGCAGCGTGTGGCTGACGTTGCCCACGACGGACCGCACCACGGAGTAGGTGACGGAGCCGTCCTCGTCCGTCACCTCGGTGGGCGGCACGGCCAGGCGGCAGCCCCGGTCCCGGAGGCGCCGGGAGGCACCGGGGACGTCGTCCAGCTCGAAGCACACGTTGCAGGCCGTGCTCACGGCGTACGCGGGGT